CTTTTTCTTTTCCCTTTTTCTTTTCCCTTTTTCTTTTCCCTTTTTCTTTTCCCTTTTTCTTTTCCCTTTTTCTTTTCCCTTTTTCTTTTCCCTTTTTCTCCAAATCCGCGGGGTTATTGTTCTCATCCGACCACCAACGCAGAGCCGAAGCAGCGAAAATGCCCCTCAGCCCCGCGCTGCTCGTTCGTGCCGGGATCACTCCTGGCCCCGTTTGCCCCGAACGGCCCCGACCCAGCGGCGGAGGGAGAGGTTTTCGATTTTAAGCCGTTTTCGGCGTTTGAGAAACAAACGAAGTCGGATGTATTTACTTAGAACAAACCAAACGGAACGCTTTTTTTCGCAGCATTTTCATAGTTTTGTTTCTGGAGGGACTATGCGGAAAAAAAAAAAAGAAAAAAAAAAGAAAAAAAAAAAGGAATGATACATTTTCTTTACACATTTTCTTAGTTCGAGGGCAGCACTAGGTCTATCGGTGGCTGTTTTGAAAAGATTTCAGCCGCGGTGCATTGGAGCTCTCTGCTTCCCGGCCCCGCGCAGCGCAGCATAGCGGAGGGGTTACCGTGTGCCCCTCGCCGATGTGAGGGGTTCTATGGGAGAACCAAATGGACGGAGCGTGCCCTCGGATGCCTGCTTCTGTCCTTGAGACCGAAGAGCCGAGCGAAACCCATTTTTCCCGGCGCATCCGAGAAAGGAGAGGCAGCACTGCCGGCTCCGAGCCGGCGTTTCCCGGGGTTTAACGGGGAGTTGCGCGGGTGCGCAGCCCCGCGGGGCGCAGCCCGGCCCCACTCTTACCCTCGTTACCCCTCTGCAGCCCAAGTGAGCAGCTGGTGGGAAATGCAAATGGCTCCTGGAGGAACAGAGGAGAGCGGGTGATTTTCATTCCCTCCTCGAGTGTGTGGAAGGAGCTGGACATACGTTTCACGCTCCTAATCCTTCTTTTACATTTTTAGTCATACTCCTATTAAACAACTAATTAATGCCCGGAGTCACCGGGGAATACATTAGACATGCTGCTGTGGAAGAGGGTCTAGGGTGGCTGGAAACCGCGGAGCCGCCTGAATGCCCGGATTCCAATTTTTTCTCTCCCCTTCTGTCAAAAAGAGAAACGGAAGAGCACAAACCGGGGCAGCAAAGGCCGCTCCAAGAGCTGCCACGGCGGTGACAGCCCGAGGGCGGCTGACGGAAAGGGCTCGGCCCGGGGTTCTCTTCCGAAGAAATGAAAATTAAGAACCCCCCCAGCCGGCACCGTGCGGCCACGAAACGTCCCTCGGTGTTTTCCATCGGCCTCCGCGGAGGGACCGAAGGAGAGCGGAGTTCTGCTGCGCAGCGCCGGGCGCTGACTCCCTTTGCTGGCAGCCTGTGCTCGCAGCGCTCCGTCCCTCTGCCCTC